AGATCAACCAAAGGACTTGTATGCATGCATATAAGCATAAGCGATGGATGTGGACAACAGGGGGTGAGGGTGAGGGCAGGATTGGGGGAATGAGGGGACATTGCGGGGATAAGGACACATTTGTAATATCTTAATCAATAAAGGAAAAAAAATCAAAAAAGTTTATCTCTTTAAAATATGAGGTTCTTATCAAGACTGTATGACAAAAAAACCCCGTGCCACCCAATTAAAGACAGCTTCTTCTGTCCAAAAACAAGCATATAAACAAACAAGACTACGATATTGGCATGACAGACATATAGGTAAATGGAATAAAATTGAAAGTCCAAAAATAAATCCCATACATTTGTGGTCAATTGATATTTCAACAAGAATAACAAGACAATTCAATGGGGGGGAGGGGAGTAGGCTGTTCAACAAATCGTGCTGGTAAAACTATATATCCGCATACAAGAATTAAGTTGTACCATATTTCCTCACACTTACACAAAGTTCATTCAAAATGGATCTGAGAAGAAACATTGGTGTAAATCTTCATGACTATTTCTTAGAAATGACACCTAAATCACAAGCAACCAAAAAATATATCAATTGAATTTCATATAAATAAAAGACTTTGGTGCTTCCTAGGACACTCTCAAGAAAGAAGAAAGGCAGCCTACAGAATAGAAGAACATTTTTGCAAACACATCCTATAAGGGTCTAATATCCAGAATATTAAAAACAACAACTGTTATAAAACAATAAAAAGACAACCCAATTTTAAAATGGGCATAGAATTTGTATAGACATTTCTCCAAATGGTCAAAGCACATGAGATGTTCAACATCGTTAGTTATCAGGGAGATGCAAATCAAAACTAAGTCAGATATAATGAAAAAGACAAACAATAACAAGTGTAGCCCAGGATATGGAGAAATTGGACCTCTCGTATATTGTTGGTAGGTATATAAAATGATGCAGGCACTCTGGAAAACAGTTTGGCAATTCCTTAAAAAAGTCAAACAGAGTTACCGTATGATCCAAAAATTCCACTCCTGAGAAAATTAAAAACATATGTTCACATAAAAATTATATACAAATGTTCACAACAATATTATTCAGAATAGTCAAAAAGTAGAAACAACACAAATATCCATCAACTGATGAATGGAAGTAAAATGTGGTATTGTATATCCATACAATGGAACGCTATTATTTGGCCATAGAAAGGGATGAGATACTGACACATACTATAACATGGATGATACTCAAAAACATGCTAAATGAAAAGAACCAGACTCAAAAGGCCCCATATTGGATGATTCCATTTATGTGAAATGTCCAGAATAGACAAATCCATAGAGACAGAAACTTGATTAATGGATGCAAGGGGTTGGGGGTGGGGGAGGGAGGAAGAATTGGAGAGTAACTGTTAATGTCTATGGAGTTCCTTTTTGGGGTGATGAAAATATTTTAAAATTAGATACTGGTAATGTTGCACAACCTTGTGAATATACTAAAAACCATTGAATTCTATACACTTTTACGCCCAACTGGTGTGTTTCAGTGGTTGAGCATCGACCTATGAACCAGGAGGTTCCTGGTCAGGGCACATGCCCAGGTTGTGGGCTCAATCCCTAGTGTGGGGGTGTGCAGGAGGCAGCCGATCGATGATTCTTTGCCATTCTCTCTCTCTCTCTCTCTCTCTCCCTTCCTCTCTGAAATCAATAAAAAATATTTTAAAAAAGGATAAATTCCATGGTATATAAATTATATCTTATTTAATAGATTTTTAAAAATAATATATTTTATTGATTTTTCACAGAGAGGAAGGGAGAGGGATAGAGAGTCAGAAACATGAGAGAGAAACATCGGATCAGCCGCCTCCTGCATGCCCCCCACCGGGGATGTGCCCGCAACCAAGGCACATGCCCTTGACCGGAATCGAACCTGGGACCCTTCAGTCCGCAGGCCGACGCTCCATCCCCTGAACCAAACCAGCCAGGGCTTATTTAATAGATTTTTTAATGAAGTCCTTTAAGTATCCTACCAATACTATTGTAACATAAGGCCCTAACAAGGTCATTGTAGAAGCCAATAAATATAAAACAGATTAGGAAAATATTTAAAGGGAAAATTAATATAAAGTGGCAAAATAATAGCATAACTATCTGAGTAGATTGGGGAAGTAAAATAAAAAAATGAAGCTGAAAAAAATCTATGATTAATGAAAGTCTTTAGGTACAGAACAAGTTTAGAGGAGAGTAAAGGAAAAATAAACTAATTCCTTTTTTAAATAATTTCCCTTATTTCATTATAACCCTGAATCACAACACCTGAGGCATTTCTAGAGCACAGGAAGGTTATTAAAGTAGCATTATTATGATCCCATTTTATTTGCAACTCAAGGAGATGGAACAAGCTGCCCAGCTTTACACAATAACTTAATGATGAAGCCAAGACATTTCACTGGAGGCTTTCTCGTAATGATTTACCTGCTAGCTAGTTTCATGTTGAAAGTATCAACTGCCCGGCCGGGTGTGGCTCAGTGATTGAGCATCGACCTATGAACTAGTAGATTGTGGTTAGATTCCTGGTCAGGACAAGTGCCCAGGTTGCAGGCTCAGTTTCTGGTGGTGGGGGAAAAGGGGCATGCAGGAGGCAGCCAATCAATTATTCTCTCTCAACATTAATGTTTCTCTCTCCCTTTCTCCCTCTCTCCCTTCCTTTCTGAAATCAATAAAAATATATTTTAAAAAAAGAAAATATCAACTATGTCAAGTTTAAAGGTACATAATAAAGCCATATTTGTATCCCTCGGCCTAAACTCACCAAGAATTACTGTTAAATATAAAAGCCAATGTTTTATTCCAGCTTGCATTCTTATATTAAACTGTTTAAAAACTTTCTGGCTGGATGAGAATATTCCATTTTTTGCTTCCTAGGAATTAAAATTTAAATGAAACTGAAATGTTTCCTTAACCAAAGTGAAAGAATAATAATTTCTACCTACAAGGAAGAATGAATGAATGAATTGTAAAGGACCAAGATCCTTTAACACAGCCATTCTCTCACATTAATCACAAGATGCAGACAATGATATCATCTCATTGGAGATTGATGAGAAGGACATTTTGCAAGAGCGCTTTATGTAAATACCAGGACTTGTTGCTTACAATCAAGGGTCAGCATCCTCATTAGCTCAGCTCTGTCTTCGTGGGATCAGTAACCATAAAAATATTTGCAGAATATACATTTCATATGTTCCCTTTACTTTATCATCACAACAATCTATGAGAATAGAGATCAGGAGTTATTACATGATAACCCATTTTACATCTCAGGGAATAGACGTTCAGAATAGGAAAGTGGCTTGCCCAAAGTCACCAGGCTCATCAGTGACAGAGCTGGGTGGGACTCAAAGCTGATCTTCTAACACCAGATCCCATTTTCTTCCCACCGAATCCCCTACTTCTCCAAGTAAGCTATGTCAGAGGTAGGCGCAGGAGATCTACAAGAAGAAAGAATAAGAAGGAAAGGAAAGTAGTGAGGAACTAGAAAGGGACGATGACAGGGGAAGGAGGTGTTTCATTAGGAAGTGAGTCTAACCACTCTCAATTGTCCCAAATGTCCCTTAAGTGGCAACAGTGCCATACCACAAGCTACCCTGCTCCAAATTAATCCTATGCCCCTAGCTATACAGCTACTGTTGTTATTTGAGAACCATGTTGGAGACTTAAATGTCTAAAAAAAAAAATCTAAAGATTGTTCTCCGAGGTCTTGACAGCTGGACCCAGCCCCTCCCACCAAGACCCTTGGGAGCCGAAGAAACCCTGAAGTGTGGGGAACGGAAGGGAAGAGGGTTTCGGTTGGGGGGTGACTAAGGTTGAGCTGAGGACAGGGGGAGCCTGCGGTGGAGCCGTGGTTAGGGATGTGGGTTTTGTGGCTGAACTTGAAGGTGAGATAGGAAACCAGGTTCAGGGCTGACAGTCAGGGTGGAGTTTACAGGTCCAGGAGAGGTTGGGCAGCAGAGGAGCTGATCCGGCTGGAGAGCGACCTGGGAAGGTGGGAGCCTGGGTGGTCCCTGGGGCGCGGGGCTGGAGGCGAGGCCCCTCGCGGACGCCTGGGATTGGATGCTCCCTCAAGTCCCGCCCCCCAGGACCCT